TGGAGAGCATACTCCATTTGACTGGGGGATCCTTCCATTGGTTGCAGCATCCCCAAGTACCTTGGCATTCTTCTGCATGGTGAAAAACACATTGAATACTCCAGAGAGATACCTAGAGAAATGGCTCCATGGTTAAGAGAATGCACTGCTACTGCAGAGGGCTGGAGTTCAATTCCCAGCAATCCCATCAATCAGGTGGCTCATGACTGACTGGACTCCAGCTTCAGGAGATTTAACAACCCTGCCCTCCATGGACAACAGCACTCATGTACACATACCCGGACAGAGACACACACTCATATACACAATTAAAAATAATCAAAATTAGTATTTTTTTAAAAACCACAGAGGGGAGACCAGACATAACAAGTTGAAAAGAGCAGGTAGCACATCTAAGTAATATGCACTACAGAGAAAAATCAAGGAGGGACATGGGACAGGCTGGAAACGCAGTATCACTGAGTGTTGTAGGTAATTTAGAGAATAACCCAGCTTTAATGGGACTGCAATTGTCTCCAGACACAGGACATGTAGACCGGGAGGTCCTATGGCAGGATGATCCTATTTGAAGAGCAAATATTGGGTGTTGCTAAATAATTGACCCAGCATTCTAAGAGTGTCAGAGTCATCCCCGGAAAGCAGAGGCTGAGAGTGCATCAGGATTGCCGAGGTTTAGTAGAGTAATGTCTGTGAAAGCCCTGAGCAGCAGAAGCTGTTTAGCACAACTTGACAATGTTTCAGTGGGGCTTGGGGGGACTCTGAATAAATTAGCCAATAGGAGAGTGTTCCTGAGCTGAAAGGCTATGCCCAGGAACAGTCATTGACTGAGAATTGCTCCCTGCAAGAGCAGGATATTAGCAAGACAGCAGATGAAACCCCTGGAGGGACCAGCCATTGGAGGCTCAGCTAACCACTCCCTTGGGTGATGATCCCCAAGTCTGCCACACATTTACAGACTTGTAAGTTTTTCCTTTGTTCTCCCTGGGCTTAGAAGCCTCAGGACTGTTTTAAAATGAGCTGGCTTTTATTTAAGTAAGCTCACACAATTTGCCCCTTTGAAAATAATTCAGTAAAACAAAGATAGATTCAGGAAATTAACTAGGAAGTTTCTGCAACAACCTAAGTGAGAAACTGGTTTCACACAGACCAGATCAGAAAAATACCCAAAGGTATTAAGAAGAGCTCAGCACCCCAGTGTATACTTTCTGGGGATTAAACCCAGGTCATCATATATGCTAAACACAGACTGTCAGACACCTCTTTACTACAACACTAATAGTTTGCCACCATGCTTGAAGGAAGAATAGAAACAGTCCTTACAAAATCCCAAAGATGAGGGAAAGGGACCCTATTCAAAATGGTGGGTAACTTAACTTCATTTAGTGGAAGGAGGCAACTTAAGCCAGGAAGAAATAGAAAATTTCTATGGATAAAAAACAATTGGTGTGTTGAAAAAAATAATTAACTAATGTTAAAAATTAATTGTAAACAGTCCTTGTGCTTGCACTTGAATTGCAGCCTGTGTTCCAAGTCAAATCTCTGTCTCTACACACTAATTCACAAAATCCAAGGACTGATGGCAGCCCAGGTACCATTATTATGATAATCACCATCTATATCCCTGGACACATTGTAAATCTGTTTCTGCCTCTGGTTCATGCCACAAGGATCCCCAGGTAGAAATGAAACAATCTCAGGTTCTGATCTACGAACCATAAAATACCCTCTATGGGATCGTTGCTCTCTCCAGAAGTGAGCTCTCCAAACTTAGGACACTCAAAGTCAAGATCCTTTAAGAAGTTCTGTTGTCACTGAGATCTCTGATGCATATAGCCTTACATGTTAGTCTGGTTCATAAAATACAGCTCCAAAAACCTGGGGAGTGCTACCTGCCCTCTAGACAATGATGTGCTGGCTTTTCCGTGGTGTGGAGACTCTGCTGTAGTTCACCTATCAGAGTATTCCAGAAGCTCTGTACATCTGTTTTGGGTCCCACAAACTCAGTAGGATCTTCCGAGAAACAGAGAGCCACCATGAAACTGTTTAGTATAGAGTTTGATCTTCTGAAGCTATGTAGACTGGTCACAGTCTGTTGAGGCTCTCAACTTTACACCCACTTCTGAACCTGAGGTTTGCAGAGCAAACAAAAAAAGTTACATACAGACAATGAATGGCTGAAAGTAAGACCAACCAAGACCCTCAGCTTCAACTTGCAATCAGGGGCAGTCTTCTGCCTTCTAATTTCAGGAGGTGGAGATCCTCAGGAGAAGTTAGAGGTCATCGTTGCTGAGCTGAAGAAGCACTTGGCTCAGGAATCAGAGATGCTTCAGAAAAAAACTAGAAGAAGATTCAGTCCTCACTGGCTGTCCCTTACCAATACCCTGATCCCACAGACAAAGCAACAACTTCCCTGACTTGTGCTGTACCTGGGACCCACAGCCATTCCAAACACTAAACAAGTGCATGGTTTCTTGCGGCAATTCCCTGTGCAGACCATGAAGATGAGTGAACGCACTCACGTGTGTGCCTGTTTCCCTTTTACAGAAGAGGCAGTATAGATAACACAAAATTGACTTTCTTACCCTGCTCAGTGCTAAAGCCTGGAAATAGTCAATTCTGCTTCCTTGTTATGATATCTTCTGAATTGTAAAAACATACACATGTTTATTTTTCCGGCCTTTTTTTTTTTCAAAAACATTCTAATCGTAATTTGTGTGGAAGCACGGAAGCTGGGAGCACGGTGCTGTGTTGAAGAGATGGAGAAACAAGATGTACACTAAAGAGTTAATCACCCTCTCTCCTCTACATTGAAAACGGATGTTAGGTAAACTGGGTTTCTTGCCCCCACTAGCCTGAAAAAGGTGGGATATCCAAAGTATTATCCTGCAACATTGCTTATAATAAAGATGCTTTAACTGGGCTCTGTGAGAATCATCAGTGGGGAACCTGAGTAGAGGGTGTGTCCCCTTCAGTGACCTGCAAGCTGTGTGCTTATTATCACGTTCACATAGGTCAGAAAGAACTGCAGCTCAGTGTACCCAAAGAAGACACTGATGGCTGTTTCTGCATCGATGAAAGGCCTAGTGTCTAGCTTTTTATGTTTCTGGCAAGCACCCTTGCAGGTGAGACCTTTGCCTCTACTTGGGACCGAGAAGTGCTCAAGGGAGGGTTGATGCATTCCAGGGTAATTTTATTGTGCAGTTAATCAATAAAAAGTAGACTTCAGACAGCAAATCACATGTTTGACATAGCCTGGGTTAAATGAGATTATGCCTCCTAAAAAAATGCCCCAACAAGCAAACAAATAAAACTATAGACTTGAGTGGGAAGCTCACCCTTTAGAAGATCAAGAGTGGGCAAGAGGAAAGCTCTGTGAGTTGTCTTGATGTGAGAGTGCTTATGTGCTGTTTTGAATAGGAATGACCCCCATGGGCTCATAGATTTGGGAGTGGCAGTGATTAGGAGGTGTGGCCTCATTGGAGGAAGCATGTCACTGGGGTGGGCTTTGAGGTTCAAATGCTCCAGCCAGGCCCAGTGTCTCTTTCTCTTCCTGCTGCCTGTCGATCTGGATGTAGAACTCTCAGCTCCTACATGCCACTTTGGTTCTTGCCATTAACGATAATGGACTAAACCTCTGTACCTGTACGCCAGCTCCAATGAAATGCTTTCCTTTATAAGAGTTGTCATGGTCATGCTGTCTCTTCACAGCACTAGAACAGGGACTAAGACCATGTATGTGTCCTTTCAATGGAAGCAAAGTAGACTTTCATTTCTCATTCCTGGTTCAGGTCATGGTAAGAGCACAGAGCTGATAGGAGATCATTGGCACTTTGCCACAAAACCGACAAGAAAGTTCAAATGATGGCTTCCATCCTTATCTGTCTCTAGCCAGGAGAAGGATGAGAGGGCCATTTCTGTTGAGGGCAGGGTCTAAAAGGAGCACCCACAGCTTTCGTTTATAGACACACCCACATCCAAGGGAAGCCATACTCCAGATGGAAGCCAAGTGCCCAGTTATAACCCAGAATTCGAGTCACTGAAGGAAGAGAGAATAGATAATAAGTATCAGCTGACCGTTCCTGCTTTAATGACCACTTATAAACCTACTCTAATTTTCTAAAAGAAATGATTATTCCATTTGGAACTAAATAAAGCATGAGTTTAATGAATATTTTAATTATGTTTCTATTGCTTTGATAAAACACTGACCATAAACAGCCTGTCCAGGAAAGGGTTTGTTTAGCTTACATATCCCAGGTCCTATGTAATCCACTGAGGGAAGCCAAAGCAGGAACTCGATGCAAAAACCTGGATTCAGGAACTGATGCAGAGGCTGTAGAGAAACATGTCTCACTGGCTTGCTCGGCCTGCTTTCTTAAAGCATTATCCCCTGCCGAGGGATGACACCTCCCACCCGTCAATCAATCAAGAAAACACCCCACAGGTGCTCACAGGGATGACACCTCCCACCCGTCAATCAATCAAGAAAACACCCCACATGTGCTCACAGGCCAATCAGGTGGGGACATGTTTTCAGTTGAGGTTCTCTTTTCCTCTTTTACCCCAGTCTGTGTGAAGTAGACAAACACCAACCAGCACAGCTAAGTAAACACATCTTCCCGCTTTCCTCCAAGTATCTGGTCCTCGTGTTATATTCCATTTTGTGGAAGATGCATGTTCTATTTCATGGCCCTTTTTCATGGATGATGGTGAGCCAAAGACATCTTTTCTCAAGCATGTTTTGGCTGTATAAATAGGACTAGAAACCCAGCAGCAGAGATTTAGAGCTGACAGCCTCATTGTAGATTGAACGAGAGATTCCCAGGGTGAGTGAATGAGGTAGCACTCACTTATTAAATACAGAATGTGTGCTGGGTACCTCTCTCAGCTGTCCCAATGGAAGACAGAGACCACACCCCACTTTGGAGAATGTCCCCTTTACTCTAAGCTGTGTAACCAGTCCAAATCATTTTCCTCAATCGGCTTTACTTTCTTTGAAGGATCTAATCATAAAGGAAACACGGATTAACAAAGTAAAGGAAGAGGAACTAGGTGACACCCTCCCACAGCTTGAGGTAGCAGAAGAGGAATTCAGAGAAAAAAACAGGAAACTCAGGTCCCTCCACAGTGACATTTCAGGTAATATTTCAGACATTTCTTCTCCCTCCTCCCCTTCCTTCTTCTCCCTTCCACCTTTCCCTCCTCTCACCTCCTTTCTTCCCCCAACCCACTAACCTATGCCTAAGGCAGAGATAAAGAAGGCTCATCAGATAGGAGCTTTCAGAAGATGTGAACCATGTCTGTAAGTATGTATCTTTTGCATTCCATTACACAGCACAACATGTGCACATATAACTGTGTGTGTATTCAAATAAAAAAAAATCTTACACAAAAATTATTTGTGGTCACCTAGCCCTGCACCCAAGGTCCAGAATGTTCGGCTTTTGCTTTCATTCAGGAAGTGGAGGGCCACTGTCCAGAAGCTTTGCACAGGTCTTTGAGCAGGTGCCACTTAAAGATGCCATGTCTTCCGGATGATGAAAGGACTGTGGGACTCAGAAGGCCAGGACCCAGAGTAAAAGAAAGGACCAGAATGGGACCAATAAAAGAACAGTGTCTGAGGACAGGAGAGTGAGTGAGATAACCATAAAGATGTGGAATAATACAGCCCATATCAGTAAGATAAACTGCAAACCAGAGACGTATTTAAAAATAAATAGTGATTATTTCCAAGAAGGTAAAATTTCAAGACTACCTACATATAATAGCAAGAGCCTGGGCAGTAGTCTGTCTGCTATTTCTGAGTTGTCTTTCCATTTCTTGCCAGATTTTCATCTGATTAACTCAGGCAGGCTCGCACTTGATGCTCTTACCTGGTTCATGGGTACTCCATTCTCCCGGGTCTTTCCACCTCTCCTCTCAGTTCAAAGAAGAGGGTGAAGGCAACACTGTCAGAATTAAATAAGCAACAGTTTCTACATTCTGAATCTCTTACGAAGGAAAGAGGGGGGATGGGAAGACAGCAGCAAGAAAGAAGGAACTGAAGAGTGCTCAGTGCCTGCCAAGACAGCCCACCAACCCAAGATGGACCGCACATGCTCACAAGTGCTCAGTGCCTGGCAAGACCGCCCACAAAGACAAGAAGGGCTACACAAGCACAGGTCTCAAACAGGGCAGGGGAGTTCGTGAAATACAATAATAGATGAAACTCATGCATCTATCTTAGCCGCACCCTGAGACTTGTTATGATTGTGTATAAAAGCATGTTTGCAAAGTTGTAGCTCCACAAGAAGCGGGGGATCAATGAGGAAGATCTCTCTCACCGGCTGACGGTTCACTTATCTGATAATAAGCCTCAGCAGGCTTTGGGAAAGAATGACTGGCTAGAAAAGAAATATAAAAGAAAGGGGACTATGAATAGAAGAACCCATGGAAAAAGACATCATAGAGGCCTTAAAGTTCTCTCCCTAGACTGTAGATTGCAGGCATGGCTATAACTCTGGGCTGAGAAACACAGCAATAGAAAAGTTAACTAATACAGCAGTTAGGACTCCAGGGCAAGCCTTCTTCTGAGTTGTAGCTCAGTAACTACTTTCCCTTGATGCTGGCAAAAAAATGGGCCAGGGTGTTCCAAATTTGAGCACCCAATATGCCTGAGGGCAGAAGACAGTGCTGTGGCAGGGTCCTTTCCCCTGTCTGGCTAGAGGAGTGCTGCTTGCTGTTGTGCAAATTTTATAATAATAATTAGAAAAACTGATTCCATAAAAGTTATCAGAAAGATACTCAGTAATAAAAATAGTAGTAAAGGACTTTTATCTTTATCAAGTATGGCTAGAAATAACACACGGCACTGACTGGAACGCTTCACCTGAAACTGTCTTTTGAAAAGATTTACTAGAGTGAGCCTTGGAGGACCCGTGGATCTGTGTCTTGCTTCAACAGTGTTTGGACGGAATTGACCCGGGCACTTCCACTTTGCTAGTTTCCAGCCGTCTTACAAGTCTCTCCAGTCACATACTCTGGGACCATCTCCTCGCCGCCATTGGCTCCTAGGACCAGCCAGCACTGTGTCTCTTCGTGGTTAGCCCCATACTCCAGTTCAGCCATGACCTCTCAGATTCGTCAGAATTATTTCACCGAAGTGGAAGCTGCCATGAACCGCCTGGTCACCTTGCACCTGCGGGGCTCCTACACCTACCTCTCTCTGGGCTTCTATTTTGATTTGGATGATGTGGCTTTGGAAGGTTTAGGCCACTTCTTCCGAGATTTGGCCAAGTAGCCGAGGGCGCGTCTTCTTGAACTTCTCCTCAAGTTGCAGATGATTGTGGGGGCCATGCACACTTCCAGGATGTGCGGAAGCCATCTCAAGATGAATGGGGGTAAAACCCAGGAGGCCATGGAAGCTGCCTTAGCCCTGGAGAAGAACCTGAACCAGGCCCTCTTGGATCTGCATGCCCTGCGTTCTGCCCGCACAGACCCTCATCTCTGTGTCTTCTGGGAAAGCCACTTCCTGGATAAGGAGAAGCTTCAAGAAGATAGGCAACCACCTGACCAACCTCCATAGGCTGACTCGGCCACAATCAGCGCAGACTGGCTTGCCCCAGGCGTCTCTGGGCGAGTATCTCTTTGAGCGCCTCACTCTGTAGCGCGACTAGGAGGCCTCTGCGGCTTCCAAGGGCCCCCCTTCTGCTCTGCACTAGCCAGCCTCAGGACCTCCACCTGAATGAACCTCTCAGGCCTCTAGGCAGCTTTGTAACCACCCTGGAGCCTCTCCCAAGTCTTGGACTAAGTAAAAATAAAGCTTTCTGAAATAGGAGAGAGAGAGAGAGAGAGAGAGGGAGGGAGGGAG